AACAGAAGAATGTAGTAATAAAGCATTGTAGGTAAGAATGCAGGCTCGCACATGACCTGAGATCAACACCCTGAAAAATGGATAGAGGGTAGTGCTTTCAGGACCACCTAAATGACTCATGATCTTCAGTTCCATTTTGGAAAATGACTGGAGAATTTCAGGCCTGAGACCTCCCAAATGCGCTGCAGAGAGGAGTTTGGACATCCTTCAGCATCTGGGCCTTAGGAACTTGCGTCTCTTTGAAAGCCAGTGAAATGTGTGCTCTCAAGTGCCCACGTCACTTAGGTTATTCTGAAAACTGTACCCTATATACATATAGGTAGATAAGGGGCAGACTTTCACAGGCACAAGAGGCAGTTAGACATGTAACTCCCATTGATTTTTTTTCCCCCTCGGGGACCTGGAAAATCCCCACCCCCTCCCCGAGGAGTTGAATCCTCCTCTCGCATTATTTTCACACCAGATTAACACCACTGGTTCCAGTGGAGCGACTCCTGAGTTATCCCAGTGTGAGCGAGAGGAGAACCAGTCCTGAGGTGCTCTAAATATCCAGTGAAAGTGCTAATGTGGCAATGCAGAAAAGCAGGGAATCTGAACACAGGCCTGGAAGAGGACCCCCAACGTCACCTCTGGTGCCGCTGAGCTGCAGGTGACCACCAAGCAGACTTTTTAGCCAAGAGGAACTACAAAAACATTCATTCAAACCCTTCCCTCCACCTCTGCAAACCACAGCCACTCCATTTCCTTCCTAAGATACCTATGACAAACAGCAAATCCTCAGTATGAAGAGTAACAAGTGCTAGTTTGCTGTTTGGAGACCACAGGAAAAAAAGAAATAACTCCTGTGGGGAGTTTTGTGTGAATTCCCCCTTTCTTTCTTTCTCCTTTCCGTTTTTTCTAAACTCCTCTCCATCAGTCATGGCTATTTCTTTCATCTGGAGTAACATGTTTCCCAAGCAATGGTGTTTATGTGGTCACCACAGGTGAGTTCCTTCTGGCTAAAGCCTTTCATTGGGCTGCATTAGGGTTTAGGATTGGAAAACACTGTGTCTGAAGGGATCTCAGCAGGATGCCCTTCCCCTCCCTTTGGAATGTGGCTCAAGGAAAAGCTCCTTGGCTGATGCAACTATTGCAAGGGTTGTGGGGTTTCATCTGCTATCAGTGCAGACAGTCAGAATGCCACAAGCATTGCAAGTCAGACCAAATTCATGCTTACAATCTACTGCATTGACGGAGAGTTTATGTTGGATTTTTTTTTCACTTTTTCAAGGCTTAGTCTAGTGAAATATAGTAGTGAAATGTCAAGAGCTGGCCTACAGCTGGTATGAGCATTCAGGATAGCTGTGGGTCACTAGCATATCTTAACGACAGGGGCATGGAAAAAGCCCCTCTAGGACCCTGAATTTCCACAGCACTGCATGGTGAGGTCAGGCATCATATTCCCAGTGTGAGTCACTCTGGCATGCCCTGCCCTTTTTTTACATAAAATAACAACCACAGAGCACCCCCAGGAAAACCTCTACCCTCTTGAGGGAGAGAGAATTAGATACATACTCCCTAGGGAATTCCTGTTGGTTGTTACAGTGGGAGTAGGAGAAAAGCTTCAACTACTCTGCTGATGACTCTTTACCCCACTCTTTACTTCTGGGACCTCCTGCCTCTTCTGCTGCTTTCAGCTCACTTGATGTCTTGCTAGAAAAATCATTCCTCAAATACCCTTGTTCTCTTTCCAGTTTCCGTCCCATGCTACATCCTTTATAGTGTTTCCTTTTAGCCTTTGAAAATCTGGCTGAAGAGGCAACTCAAGGAAATCCAAATGCTTTTCTCTGCTCTCTTCCTGTACCCTGAAGACAGCCCAGCTTCCTATACAAATCTTGTGTATTACACATTAAACCACTGCCTGCTCAAGGCAGGGTTTGTCTCTGTGCTCTCTCTCACGCTCTCTTTGCCCTGACTCTCTGGCAGGATCAGGACACGGTACAATAATAAAGATAGGGGGTGCTTGGTTACAGCCAGTAATTTTAAACTGGAACCAAGGGAGAGGAATTAGTATTTAAATTATTTAGGTTTGCAGTTGGTAACCACATATCCCGTTCTCTTTGTGGGGGGAAAAAAACCAAAACACAAAACCCAACCCTTTGTTCTCTAAGCAACATGGCAAAGTATGTTCTCACAAACGGTGACAAAACACGCGCGATGCCCCAACCATCAGCCAAGGGGGAGGCAACATGCGAAATACAAAGGTCCCTGGGGAAAAGTTGTTTCATTTTTTGAGGAGGGAGGAGGGCCTACGTCCAGGAAGACATGAGAAGTGGTTTTCTTTTCCTTATAAAGTTAAAAATAGTAATAGCAAAGTGGAGGCAAGATGAAAACTTTGGGGTCTGAAATCAGAAGAGCAGGGAAACCATATGGTCTTTGCAGAAACAGGCAAGACAGAAAACCTTTTAAAATGGTCATGACAGGAGATAAGGCCAAACAAAAACCATGGTCCCTCCTTCCTGCCCCTCCCAAACACCTCTCCCACAAATCCGGAGAGCTGAACCTCAGTTCTCTCAACTTGGTGCTAGAGACACGGGGTGTCTGCAGTGTCTGCGCTGGGCTGGGCCCCTTGTGTGCTACGAACAGCAAACATACTGTACACCTCTCCTCCCTACGCCTCAACCCCCGTGTCCCTCAGAGCGCTCTCCCTCCCAAACACCACCCACACCCCGCTGCTCCCATGGCAGACACGGGCGGGGTGGTGAGACCTGACATACGGTCCAAGCAATGCCTGATGTCTGCGCTACATTTGCTGAATTGAGGTCAGGCTGGAAGGTGTCTCAGGGTTTACCACCCATCATGACATGGGAATATTAGCATATATATAATTTATGAAATATGACACAATACCTATCTGTCAGTCAGCCCATCTTTCTACCTATTTAGTCTGTCTAATCTACTTTAGCTATCTACGTTTCACTATCTCTATCAATCATCTATTGCTCCATATTATCTAATTTCTTCCTGTCTCTCTCTCATCTTTTGCACTCTAATCTTTCTTTCTCTAGCTATACTCCCCTCTCTCTCCCTATCATCCATCTATCCACTCAAAAATCTTTCCCCCCCTCATCTCTCTAATCCCTGTTTTTAAAAATCTTTGTCCAATCTATCTCCCACTCTCTCTTTCCCTCTCTTTAGAAAAAAACCCTCCCTGTCTCTCTCTCTCTTATTTCTACAGAATGCCGGGAAGCACATGGAAATGAATCCCAACATGTTTTGATGGCACTTCCAGTGAGCAGTCTACGTTCAAAGTGATCATTTCTGAGGAGACACCGTTCATCTTTTCTCCCTATTTCCAACAAAGAGATGGAGGAGAACAAAGGAGTAGGGCAAGGAGTGCCAGCCAGCCCTCCAAAGGCCACGGGCCTGCCACTCCGAGAAGCATCGGCCATCAAAGGATGCTGGAGCTGTCAACATTCCCATCCATTGGTCTTCCTGCTGTGAGGACAATTTTATCCTGGTCCTGCAGCATCACACAGTTATGCTGCAGGGTACTCTGGCTGTCATTGCCAGCGAGGCCAGGAAACCATGCAGGAGCTGCTGGGAAAGCACATGAAATTAATCAGGGCAGTGAAAGAGCAGTAATTAGCTTTTATGAAAGCCCAGATACTACTAAATGCATTTTAACTGTTTGCTCTCATAGCTCATAATGACAGCAGCAGACCCAGATGGCTGTACAGGCTCAGGGTTTGGTGTCTGTCTGTCCTCCGCTAGGACAGGCTGGGTGGCACCAGGAACAGCCTGCAACCTGTGGGAAGCAGTGATGGAGATTTAGGAGGTGGGGCTCTGCCCATAGCCATAAATGACAGCTGAAAACCTTGGCCCTCATTAGATCTGGGTGAAGCACCCTGGGTTTGGCAGGAGCAGGAATGAGGTACTTCTCCAAGTGCCACCAACTGACTCCTAGGCCACCAGGCCTCGTCCTGCCCGTGTGCCTATTTATTCAATAAATATTGAATAGTAATTGGCCCAATTTATTTTGCCAAACTGAACATATTTGAGGGGCATGCTATGCTACTCAGGGACTTCAACTCCAGCCCAGTGGGATGAGCATCATCCTACTGTGGCGAGAAGCTCAGGTCCTAGGGCCCTGTCACCTCACAGCCCTTGGCAGGGGTTAGACCTTGGGTATGGCTCAAAGCTGGTCGCTCTGCAGGCTCATACCTCCAAGGCTACCACAGTTCTCCAAATCAGGGCCTAGAGGTCTCCTAGAGGGATGCTTTCAATGATCTTTCCTAAAACTGATTTTGCTACTTTTTGAGCAGTGCTAACACCTTGCTCAAAATCCGAGCCTGCTCCCCTTAAAAATCCCCTCAGTAGTGCCAGGGAGAGCAGTCAGTCACTGACTGGTGGCCAAGGAGCACAGCTGGGCCATGCAACAAGTGGCCCACCAAAGATCACGGGCCAGCAGGATGTACGGCAGCATAGAAATGCGACACGGTGGTGTTAATGATAATTATTCTCATTTATTATAATTATTGTTCAGTTTGAAAAAGGAGCCTGGAGCCAAGCATTATGCTAATTGGCACATTTTCTAGTTGTTGTTTTAGTTCTGAAAACAAACTGGGGTTTAGTTTTTTTTTTTTGTTCATTTGTTTGTTGCGTTTGGTCTTTTGTTTGTTTTTTCTTTCGTTCATTCCATCACATTGAAAAAGGAAGAAAAGAACCTTTTTTTTCCCCCCTCTTTTGTTTTTAACTCACTCGGTAAGTCTGGACTCCTCAGATGAACGTAACATTGCACACACACACACTTGGAGAAGAGAGAGAGGAGAGAGAGAGAGAGAGAGCGCGCTCACAGTGGGCAGACAGACACACGCACGCGCCAGGTCAAAGAACTCTGATACAGTGCAAGAATTTTCCCAAAATGATTGGATCATCATTACCAAAAACTTGCCATAACAACACCAAGAAACAAAGAAATGTTTAAGCCACACTGTTTGACTGGGATTTTTCCTGCTTTTTTTTTTTTTTCTTTAAATGTTTGCCACACAGAGAGAAAAAGGGTTTAAGTGGTAATGGGAGAGGGACAGACAGGCTCACAGATGCGAGCAGGAAGGGGGGAAATCGAGATTGGGGTGGGAAGGAAGGATAGAGGATAGGGGGAGGGAGGGAGGGGCAATGGGGAGTCATTTCTTAATGTTCAGGCATTTTCTTGGTCCGCCTTGCTCTCTTCTTCTTTCACCTCTTCCTGCTGGGCACTTTCAGTAGGTTTGGTTTCTTCTACAGCATCTAGTGGAGAAAGAGATGGTCCAGTGTTAGTCAGCCATGATCTAGAGCATCCTGCATATGCACACAGCCTGATGGGCTGCATGGCTCCAGGCTTCTCTGTCTCCAAAGTCACCCAGGTGTCAAAGTCCCTGGAATTTCTGCAGCATGGACATAACATGCCAAGGTTCAGCCCAGCAGGCAAATATGTAACTCTCACAAACCACCTTCAGCCAGAAAGCATGTGCCACTGGAAGGAGCTGCCTTGTTTGCTGCTGATGTGACAGACAGCCACTGTTCATTTCATTAGGGGCACTGATTAGACTCCTGGCTTATCAGATAGATCACACACCCTTTCACAGAACCCACTGGCTGTGCCAACCACTGTTGAACCATTGTCTCCCAGTTACAATATGGATACTCCCAGCTAAGCCTTAAAGAGAGTCACAAAGAAAAAATTCTATACACACCTGAAGCCTGAGACCTAGAGGGGAGAATTTTATGCCCTGTAACTCAGACTTCTCTCACACTGAACAGAGATCTAGAGAAATGTCTCTAGCCTTCAAGAATTTGAGCCTTCATCCAGAGGTTGCCACATCTCTCCGGTTTTCTGGTCTCTCCTTTCAAAAGCAAAGCTGCCCTGGGGGGAAGCAGTGAGTATAACTGGAAGCTGGGTCTGCCTGTCAGTCAGACACCTTATTCTGGCACACCATTCACATGAGAAGTTAAAACTAGTGCTAGGAGCTATCCCATAATGAACTAGACAGAGGATCAGAACCCAGGGGAAGGCAGAGGCAGCCAGGAAGAACAAGACTAATGAAAGGAATGCCCCTCAAGCTGGAGTAATCTCCCTCCTGGGTTCATCTAGTCCAAGCCTCCTTCCTTGCAGCAGGATAAATTTGTCTCAGAGTTTCTACTGCCCAGCTCTCATCAGGGTACACTAACATGTTCCCAGCCTTGTTCAGAAACAGTGCATGTACTGTGTGGATTGCTTTTTACAGGACAAAGTGGTGGTGGACCCCGGGCTGCAGGGCTATCAGAGAGAATAATGCACAAGGGTCTTAGAGCACTGTAGTGACTGGTCTTCTCCACTGCCATCTATCCCTTTTCCTCACTGGGTACCAGTCCCACACATACACTGGAATGTGGAAATTCCAGTCAATGGAAAGGTGAAGCAAGCAGAAGTCCAGAACTGGGATAAAGAACAGGGAAAATAAATACTTGGGATACAAAGAACTGGGTAAAGAAACAAGCACTGAATGACTGGGTGGTGTGGGACAGACCACATGTCATTGCTATGACACATACCTGTACCCACCTCATTCAGAGAGCACTGTGGGTTCCCTGCACAGTTCTGGCTTCTCTGATGTGCTATCAAACTAAATTGTACCAGTAAATAAAATGGGCCAAGGGCTGCTCCCTGGCCCTGAGGCCAACTGGCACCACACAGCTTATGTCCATATGGCTAAACTCTTTTGTTCTGCAGAACAGGGTAGTTGTGTCTGGGACCTGTCTGATGCAAAGCTACCTGGTGTACACAAAAATCACACCAGGACCTGTGCTGTCAGCCTAACAATGAGGATGTTCAGCTGCCAGTGTTTAGTTTGTGAGGATTAGCATACTTATTTCCATGTTTCATGAGAATGCTAACTGGGATGTAAAACTTTCCTTACTGACACCATTCACACATTTTGGTCTGGTCCATTTGATGCCATCAGATGGCAGACTTGTATTTGCTTCCAATACTGTTAGTAGGTGCTACATTCCTGTTTCCCTCTTCCCTTCAGCTCTTTTAGCCTAGGTTTTAAACATATTACTAAGCACCACTTCCTTATGAATCACCTTTAAGTTGTGTGCAACTTTCCATTCTGAATCATCTTCATTAAAGGCTCTGCTTCTGGACCTTCAAATACTTTTTATCTTGGTAAATTCTGACTGCTGATTTTCCAGAAAGAAAAATTTCTATGGGAACATCCCCATGGCCTCAGCCACTGCATCTGCAAACCCCCTGACAGCAAAAACAACTGTGGACTTTCCTTCCCTTGATACAGAACAGATAAGCAGGATGCTATTCAAGGACTCCATCTATATCTGGTACAGCTACCACCACAAACCAGAGACAAAATAGGCTACTGATTAAAATAGGATCATAACAAATATCATTGGGAGGCAAAGCCTGGCCTACTTTTTTAATTTTCCTGAATGAGTTGATCACTGGGAGGGAGGAGAGTCTCTTTAAAGGTCCTCTTCAAGGCATTCATAGCAGGAGACACATTGAGTTACGAAGCTGAGAGTAGAATCCCAGTGTGCAACCATCTACCCCTAAATCTGAGCAAAAAGACTATCGTTAGCCAGCAGCAAAGTCTGATTTCTTACAAGGATCTGAGAAATCCTAGTAAGGCAGAACTTCTGGAGTTTTCTCCTCACATAAATGGAAGATGAGTGAAAGAGCAACAAAGAGACGTAACATGGCTTCAGGAGCACAAGTGTTGACACTGCTTTTCATTGTGCTTAAAACATTTTGTGTCTTCCTACCAAAAATATGCACAGGTTTTAGCCAGCAGTCCCACAGCCCCTTCAGGACAGCACAACAGCAAGCACAGGGACAGACAGACACTGAGGAGGGTCATACACATCTGCTGTGCTACCAAGTTACGCAGATGCCCTGTTTGTCAGCATCTGAAAGTGGAGTCCAGCTCCTACAGTGGTGGGCTCTTGACAGGAGGGATGGACAGGAAATCTGCTCACACTCAAGGTGGAGGAGCTGGCAGTGATGTTGGTTAGCTCACAGTACTCCCATGCTGTGCTTGCTCTTAGGATGAGCAGGCAAGTTGAAACACAATTTTCTGCCATGTTCTATTCCTTGTTAGCTCACCACAGTGGCAAATCTAATTTCCAGAGAGTGCCCATGGCGCCTAGAGATCCCTGGCTGGCAGAGGAACCGCACAGAGGTGCCTCACTGTCCCCATTAATGTTCTCTGGGGAGCAGATAGTGGCAGGCTGATGACTCTCTGCTGAAGAAGGCCAGAGACTGCACTGATTTCTGCCATGGATGAAATAGACTGGACTCACTGGGATCATGGAGCAGCAGGAACAATTTAAGGTCACTTCATCACACATTCAGGTCAACAGAGAGGGGTCATACAATTCAAATGCCGGACTGTGCATATCCCAAGGATTAACAAGAACTCTGGCTTTTTCAATAAGAATTATCACACAAAATTCAGTGAATCACTCTCTTTTCTATTGCATGATATTGAAGCAGTAAGGGGAAACACTCTGTGTACTGCTACACCCTGCTAAGCTATGTCTTATTTCCTACCAGCCTTACCAGCGCTTCATTGATCTTTGGGATGAGGGAAAAGAAGCAACCTGGTGTTATTATGTAGTAATGAACTTTTAGCAAGGAGAAATATCATGAAGGAAAAAAGAATTCACCACAAAAAATATAAAAAAAAAAACATTTCAAGCTGTGGCACTGCTAAGCCACAGCAGTAAAAAGAAAAGGATTCGCTCCGCACAATGGGAGCAATGCATCACAACCCCAGTGACATCAGGGCCAGTTAACAGCAGTTTCTGATTCACAAGGAGAGGTGAGACAGTTTATCTGACTCACCAGTTTGTTTGATGCAGGCTATATCTGCAGTATGTTTTCTGGGCTTTCTCCAGCCTTGTTTTCAGTGTCCCAGCACTGTCCTGGGAATTCCATACATCAGAGTGGATAGCTCTTACACTGCTTTTTACCCAATACTAGTCTTGATTTTCCACTTTTTTGAACTCTGGGATATCATACCTGTGGGTTTGCAGTGGATAAATACCATTATGCAGCCAGAACTGCACAGTTTGGGCATTTTTCATTCACTTTGCTCTTTGTTGCAAAGGTGACAAAAAGGTGGTTGAGAATTCAGGCCATCTCCTGCTTGAGGAACAAAAGCCTGGGTAGCCAAACTTCCACCTGTCTAAAGTTGTCTCCCTTCTGAACATGCCAGCACTGTGAGATCTCCTCCTGCCTGCAGAATCAGAGCCCTCTGTGTCCACTTTGCAAGGGACAGAACAAGCAGGAAGCAATGAGCCCTTTCTTCAGGTGGGCCTGGACTGGGGCAGCATCAATGTGCACATGGTGACATCATGAAATGAGAAAGCTGAAGTTGGAGTGGATGGACATCTCACCTAACTCCAGACATCTACAGAGAGACATCTGCAGATGATCTTCTCATCCCCTCCTTCCTTCCTAAATAGTGGAAATAAATAGGACATTTCTAAGACTCTATTAACCTGTCTTATTTGGAGGCCTTCTTTAGGACAAGTTGAAGCCCGGGAATATCTACACCTACAGCAAGCCAAGGTGGAGACATTCACATTTGTCCTAGAGCACCCCAGCTACAAAGCAAAAAGAAAGACCCAAATGCACAAAATGAGAGCGGAGGAGAGAGAGCAGGAGGGGACGCAGAACTGTAATATAAAGGAAAAAAAAAACAAACCAAACTTCAGGGTTGGCCAAAAGCAAATTCAGTCCTGAAGGGAAAAGCAAGAATGGCTTGGTCAAAAAGCTAAAAAAAATCACCTCAAACTAACAACAAAACCGACCTAGTTCGTGCTTGCAATCACCACCCTTCCAGTTCTTTCAATGCACATCAGTCGTCACTTGCACTGTTCATGGTTACTCTAGTCCTGTGGTCCCACTCTTCTAGCTTTGAGATTTTTGATTTTTATTTCAATTTTTGAAAATCTATGCTGCAGTCCAGATCATCTTATAGCGCAGGATAATTTTGCCAAAGAGAAATTTTGCTCATCTGTGAGCTGAGCTGCCACTGTTCTCACTTCCATTTAGCACTCTGGATGGAGAAGTCAAGTTGAGAAACCTTTTGGGCAGCCTTGGACAAAGCTTAAGCCGTTACTGCAGAATTGTTTAAAGGTAGAGCTGCACGGTGGGAGAGGCTGATGTGTGTTTGCTTCCCACAAGCTGAAGGGCCTGTGTCAAAGAGAGGCTTCATACCTGCAGCTCCAACCAGCACCTGCTGGGG